CCTATTAGTAGATGTTAATGTGGCTTCGGCACAAGGCAAATATGCGCTTTTAAACTGAGAGATCATAAGCACTGCATTCCACAAAGAAGCTTGGGAGCCATAGGGGGTTGTTTGAGGTTAGGACAATGTTCTCTTGGCTTTTGTATGTGTGGCCAAATTCAGAGTGAAGAAGGATGGATTCATCTGTACACACTGAACTCCTCGGTGAGTCAGAAGATAATAGCACAACCCATGTGGGGTATGGAAAAACAGGGACAGCAGCTAAAGTGCTGGAAAGTTGAAAGAGGGCTAACCTCCTTGTTGTAATACTCAAGGCAAGTGGCTGCTTCGTGGTCTGCTCTTGGAGTGCAGCATATGTGCCTCCTTTGACAAAAAATAAAAACAACCCTCTTCTTCTCAAAGCAGCCCTCGGCCTGTGCACTGATCCAGAGCAAAGGGCCATGGTAATGAGGGACAGGCCTCTCAAGAAGCAGAGAGGAGATAATACCGCCTAAGCGGAGAATTCTGTGGAGTGTTCTCGCCATTCAACATAATGCAAGGCGCTACCCTGGCGAATCGCTTGCCATCCAGCTGAAATGGGCCATTAGGTATCGGGGAAAATTGTCTTTCGCTACTTTTAGCAGATGGAGCAAATATTTTACAAAGCCATTTTACATACAAAAACCATTTGTGTGACTTGATAATGGCAGCTGTTTTACATTATGTTACCTTCCAAAAGAATGTCTCTCATGAAAGGCAAAATTGGGACTTTTTTAATTTTAAAATTTGCAGTTGCACACTCAACCATTTCAGCCCTAAAAGCAGCATTTGAATTCTAAGTAAGTGTGGCAGGCGATTGATCACTTCAAAACAAAACAAAACAAAACAAAAACATTTCCAGTATTTGTTTTCTTTTGCATAGATTGCAGCTCCAGAGGGTAACAGAAATGAACAACAATGCAACCTCTGGAGTACTTGCACACCCTTGGATGGTGTGTGTCTGTGTCTGTACAAAGGGAGGGATCGCTTACTCTTTAAATTTTAGTCTGTTTCACAAGTGTAATAAACATTTTCTTAAACTCAGTGGCTAAAACCATTAGAAACTACCCTTTGCAAAGTAGGAGGGAGGACAACGTCCTTTTTTGTATGCCTAGTGTCTCTGGAGAGGACTTTAAATAGTGACAAGATGCAGAAACTGAGTGGTGTTTCTAACCATCTTAAAAAATGTACAACTCCCGCCATCTCTCTCCCACTCCTCCACCTCTTTATGCTTGTAGTAGGGAGGGGGGTGTTCTGCTTTTGAATGCTCAGACTGCACTTTCATTTTGACTATTCACTACATGAGCACCACAGTTCTTGAAAGGAGCATAGGACAGTGTACATGAGGTTATTGTTTTGTACCAGTGATGGCGAACCTTTCTGAGCCCAAGTGCCCAAACTGCAGAGATCATCGAGTCCGGCTCCTGTCCACGCCTCAACCCCCGAGGCTACCCAGTCAGTGGGCACCCTCCAGGCCAGCGCCTCTTCTGGAGGGCAGACAGGGGGCACCTCTTCTCCCCTCCCCAAATATAGACAGGCCCTCGCCTGGGCTCCCTGCGCTTTGTACTGCTCGTTCGCTCTCCTGGGGAGCCGGAGTCACTGTCAATGGCAGTCGCAATGTGCACTGAAGGGTGACTGGGTGCAGCTCCTGCTGCTGCTGCTGCTACCACCACCCGATCACTGCCTCCAGTGCCACTCGTGGGCTCCCTTTGGGCAGGGGACAAGGCGGCTGAGCCTCGACAGCGAGCAGTGCCGCACCCTGCACTGGGCCGGCATGGGTGGCAGCAGCGGCATGGCTTGTGTGCGCACAGAGAGGGTCCTGTGTGCCAGCTGTGGCACACATGCCATAGGTTCACCGTTGCTGTTGTATACTATTCTGTACTGTATAGTATAGTATACAGCAGTGTGCTGTATAATGATACTATAGTATAGTATACTATGCTACAGTATAGTTGTTTGGGTGGAAGCACTTGGTCAAAAGTTCAGTTTCCCGCTGTGCTCCCCAAAGCAAGCTGCACAATGGCCCCATGGCACCGCCAAGGCTAGAGGGACTTGTAAACTATTTCAGAATATTTTATAGCTTATAGGAAGGGTTGTCAAAACTGAACATTGACTTGATAGTACTGTACATAATTATTACAGTTCTATGGTATATAGTGCTCTAAAGTTGACGGCCACATAATGATCATGATTTAGTTGGAGCTAGTGACCTGCTCAAGGCCATTGTAAGTACATGGGGACTTTAATGCAGATCTCCTTAGTCCAGGTCCAATATGCTTCACTACAGCATCTTCAATCAACTGTTTGTTTTTGTAGGAAGAGATCTCCAGACAGGTTCTTGGAACTGCAACTAATTGTGAAGCAAAAGCAAATTCAGTAGCCAGACTACAAATACTGAAATTGCAAGGACCTGTCCTTATCCCATGGTTAGAAATAATTGTATTCATTAGGATCTAGCTTAGAGTAACTAGATGGAATGGCCTTATCAAGTTCAGTGAAAATAAGACCAAATCAACTTAATGAGGCATATTGATTTGTAACAGAGCATCTCAACAGCATTAATCAATGGACAGAAAATTCCTGTGGACCAAGCAATTCTCCACTCTGTCCATATGGGAAATCATTAGTTCTCTCTGGTTTTCAGATCAGTTATTCATAAAGAAAAGTATAAGCCATTCATTCTTCTTTCTCTTTTCTATATGATGTTTTACATCCAAGTGCAACACTACCACACTGTGATTGGAATATATGTATCTCCACTTGCTGACACATACACACCCCAGTCTCTTTGGTAAACATGCGGAGCAAGGCCTGTGGAAGAGTTTTTGGTCATTTTTGTGGTGATGGCATTTGAGAACAATTGCCCTTCCAGGCAAAACCAAGCTTTTGATGCCTATGATCCCTCTTCCAGAGCATAAAGTTGTCAAAGGCTTTTTAAAAATCCAAAATATACTGCATCTACTGGATCACTGATATCAATAGACTAGTTGAATTTCAGCATTTTTAGAATTCTGGAAAGAGAGACAAGGTGACCCACTTCAGAAGCAGTGCCCATTTTTCATTGTTAAGGTTGTCTTCTTGTATGTTTAACTCATGCCTTCTGCCAAGTTGCCTGGAACAATGTGCAGTTTCCTGGTGTACTTCCAATACCATCATCCTAGGCAATTTAAAAAAATTGCCAGTATGTAGAATTCCAGCCACAGGCACTGCCACTGATCATGTATCCAGTGATGCCCGGCTAGCAATTTATCAGATAGTCACAGCTGCCTCCACAGTTGGAGGTTTGCACATGTGTAAGTATTAAACGGGACACTGCCCTACTGGAACTTGCAACTCCGAAGGCATTAGGTGCCTCAAATCATGAGCCAAGATGCAGGCTGCATGGACAGATCATTTGCTCTCAGACTAAAGACCAAGATGTTCAGTTGTGTTCAGAATTCAGAAACTCATAAAAACAAAAACAGAGCAGTTCTACTTTCCAGTATCCTTTTGACAAAATGTTGCTTCCTTATGCAGTGTTTAGTAAAACAAAGAGCATGTAAAAGAGAGAGGGATCAAGGAAGAAATTAGTGTGATGCTTTGCCACTCTGTATCCAAGTCAAGACAAGGAAGAATAAAGTTCTGGGACTGATACATGAAGAGGGCAATTGGACCTCTTCTGAAGCATGGGACATTTCCAATTTCAAGAGGTCATGAAGCAGAAGGAAAGAGGCCCCTGGGAGCAAAGAATTGCTCACAAAGTACAAGAGAAGAGTAACCTAGAGCCTGACAGAGAGTCCCTCCGGCTGATGTGCTTGCTCAGCTGTAGACTTTTGCCTAGTAGCGGCTATGCAGTTAAGACTGGTTAGTTTCTCATTTTCATGCCGGGCTATGTTGTTTTAGACAGTTGTGGGGTTATTTTACATAGCCAGGTTGTTATCATGGAGGACAGCTCCATTCTGCTATTGAATAATGAAAAGTCTGATGACATCTTAAAGACTAAGAAGTTTTATTTTTCATAAACTTTGTGGATGGTAGACAAGTGCTTAGTTTCATCTGAAGAAGTGGCCCACAATACACATGCATGCCATATAAAACTTATTTGAGATATTCCAAAACTTTTCATTGTTCTTGCTGGAAAACCGCCCCTTTGAATCTCCTTTATTTCTGCTTTTAATCAGAAAGCATAACTATTATATTATGTCAATGGGCACGAAGGACAATAAAGAACCACTAACATACAAAATGTTATGGGCCCCTTGATTCTTCTTAATGCTTATGAATGAATCTGTTTTGTTACTGGAACAGAACATGGTCAACATTCTCTAGGGCAACAATGGCCTGGACAGGATCACAGCCAAGGAGGCTGAATTAGACATAGATCAGTTCTTTAAAACAAAAACAAGCAAATGAACAAACAGTAGCTAAGCCAGGTACACAAAATAAAATTAGCCTTTCCCAGTTTGATACTCTCTAGATGTGAGTAGAATTCCCACTATCCCTACCAAATCATTTGCTAAGTTGGTGCAGACAATCCAGTGTCTCTGGCAGGTAGTAGGCTGGGAAAGCAAGGTCATTAAATGGCACTGTCTTGAGCCCCTAAGACAGAGTGAGGCAATGCCTGAGGTGAAGGAGAGAACGGATTAATGTTTTTATTAAGAAGTATGACAAGGCGTGCTATTCCCCATCATAGACCAATACAAATACAGTAGTTCTAATCTATCACCTTTATTTTTGCTTGCTTGCTTGCTGTTGCTGTTGTTGTTGGGCTTTCTGCTAGAAAGAAATGAATAATGAGAAAATGGTTAAAACAAATACATTTCAGTGGAAACCATTATTTGATACATAAAAAAAAGATAAGGGGAACATTTAAAAAAGACTTTCTGGCTGTGGTTAAACAGTAACCACACTGCCTGTTGGAGGCCTGGTTTTTAATCACCCCACAAGCAGTTTTCATTTCTGCAGTAAAATTGCTTGTGGTTCTATTTAATTTGTTTCTGCAGGAACCAGCTTTGGCGAAGATCTCCCAGGAGCTGCCGGGCCTTTTAGCACAGCACGCTCAGGCTGTCAATGAGAAACGATTTCCTACATGGGGAAAATTCCTCCAAACATTTGTGAGTCAAGGTAAATAAGACTGCTAAGTTCCTGCTAAGTGCTATAAGGGATAATTATATCACCAGCACTTTGTTCTCATTCATTGGAATATCTCTCCGCCCTCTTTCATTGCGCCATTACAGTTTGTAATTGTTTAAGAATGAAATCCAGACAGCCATATTTGATCTTTGCCAAGTTTTGGCAGGCTTTTCCCTCTTGCATATAAACTTTTTTCAAAATTTTGAATGCCCTCCACCTGAAAATATGAGTCATAAAATTTCTCAGGGAATCAAGTTTCATACTTGCTTGCTTGCTTGCTTATTTACTTACTTGCTTAGCCATTCTTTCTGCAAGAAGGTGACTGATTCCAATATATTTTCTGGGTAATCTTCATCTAGCAGGAAGTCTGCCTGTAAAAAAATCTTAACTTTCCAAATAATGAAAATGTAACAATGAACAAGCTCCTCCAGATTTCATCTAATACAGTGGTCCCCAACCTTTTTGACACTGGTTTAGTTGAAAACCATTCTCCCAAGGACTCTCTCCACACCCGTGGCCCATCATGAGCAGCCCATCCTCTCCTCTGCAAGGAGTGTGCACCTCGGCTGGGGAGAAAGCGGCAAGTCGGTCCTCGGGGAGCATCACCAGAAGGCGGACCCGCAGCCCGCCTGCTCAGCCACCCACCCAGATGTTAACTCTCCCGCGGGCGCAAACTCTGCGGCTGGCCACCACCGCCTCCCCTTGGCCCACGCAGGGGATCTGACCAGACCAAGTGGGCTTTCCCTTCTCGACTCCCCCAGTGCTCCTTCGCCTTCTCCAGCAGTGGGGGTGTGAGCTTCCCTCCCACCCATCTTCCTGGCTGGTGCAACTCCATTCCACCACCCTCCCCCTCCGGGGACCGGGGCTCCCCTGTCCCTTCCATTCAGGTTACACCAGCAAGCAGGGAAGACCCAGAAGACGGAGGCGGCGGCTTACCTTGGCAGCTCTCTTTGCTGCTCAGAAACCGCTTGCAGAGGACCACTTAGCGAAGGGATGCGCTACACTCCCCGCCACCTCACAGCATGCTCTGAACTTCCTGCTTGCCGCTCATCTGTCCTGGCGGCCCGGTCCTTCCAAGGCCATGAGCAGGTAATGGTCCACGGCCTGGGGGTTGGGGACCCCTGAGCTATCAAATGGTTTTCTTTTTAGCAAAAGGGAGCGAACTGAAGAAGATGAACCAAAACAGATGGATCTATAGCACTTAGTTTAAGTCAAAGTCGACATGTCATTTTAAATTAAGACCTTTCACAATACTGTGGGGCTTAACCTTATTTCTTTTGGAAAGCCAGTTTCATTCTTGATAGGGAGGTGGTTTGCTATAATGGGACTTAATCCAGACGTAGGCTTTTGCACTTAGAGCAGATGCATGGTCAGTGCATGAGCATTGCAGCAAATGGAATGCAAGTTCTTGGTTTGCCAGTGACATTTTCCCTCTGACAGGTGGCGTCATAGAAGCTTTCCCCCCATCAGACAGCATCACTAATCTCACCGTGGATATGCTCATAGAGCCAACAGGAGAGATCACAATGGTTTCCTGTGGGGATCAGTTCCACGCCGACAGTCCCTTGCGGTCTTCGGGAACCACACTTCCTCAATCTTCTGTTGAGCCACAGGTCCTTAACTTGCTATGTTTTAAGATTGGAGAGGCCTGCAGAGCTAGGGGAGTGGTTGGATATTTTTCTATTGACTTTGTGACATTTATCCACCCCCATACAATGAGGCAGCAGGTAAGCCAAGGAAGCAAAATCTTAACTTTCTTTCAGTTATGCATCTTATATAAAATGCTAAGAAGGTGAAGGAATTTCCTGCCTGTCTCCTATTCTGACAGTCTAAAAAGCATGCTAATTAATCGTGATTCATGATCCAAGAAAGCATGCTATATTGAGCACAAAGAATGGAGGAGTATCTGCTTTGGGTTGGTTTGACAAAGTGAAGGCTCTCCAATGTTTCCATTAGAACAGAAGAAGGGAAGACCAGACAGAAAATGCACCATGTTGGAATAAGAATTCTTGGGGGAAGTGGCCATGTTACACTGTGTGTGTGTGTGTGTGTGTGTGGGGGGGGGGTTCTTCTTTGCAGACCTAACCAAATAGAACCAGGTTCCTGGAAAACTATTTGGGGGAACCAGATTTTTTTCTGGTTCTTGAATTTCTGGGGCATAACCTTGGATCAGAACTAGCTTTGTTTATGATGTTTTGGTTGTGTTAATCTATAACGTGTTTCTTATATTGTAGGTTCTTGGACTGCATTTTATCAGGGAAAGGCAGATTTTGTAACTTTCTGTTGGTATTGACTGTAGCAGAATCGTTGGCTCTCCCATGTATTCCTCTCCCTCAGTAGCACTGACAGCCCTACAGTCAAGATTCCATTCCTTTGCCATCCCTGAAGTCTTTTTCAGTTTTTATTATTCACATCAGCTCTTTTTTCCATTCTCTTTTCACACAGTTGTTCTACCTTGCAATTTCCTACGTTTCTCAGCTTGTGCCACAACTTTAGCATTACTTAAGCCGAGTTTCCCCCCAACTTAATTAGATATAGAGGCAATTAATGATGCCATCTGTCTTGTTGTGAGAGAGAGAGATTACACCAAAGATTGTGCTTCTCAAAGCATTATTTTTTTGGCAAACTAGAAATCCTATTAGACTTGTTCGAACACTCTCACACTAATTTCCCAGTTCCCATTTTAGATCAGTAGCTCAGAGGCTCAAATAAATTCTCCAGAACTACTACTGTATACTGAGGCGTCCTTCCAGAGTTATACTTTACAGAAAATAACCAATGATCTATGCTTGTTTTGCCAAACCTAAAAATAAAATATATAATTAAACATCTGTTACTAGTACAGTCAAACAGTAGTTAAATATCTTAAAACCCCAGAAACTGTCTAGAGATATGAATCTTTTGCATAAACACAGATGTTTGAGCAACATAAAATGACCAGATTTTTTCCCAGTGATGCTCACAACCTTTAGCTATGCCCGTACAATTTTGGTGCAGTGGGTCTGGCTTGATCCTGCAAACATTTGGCTTGGGTGTTGATATTGTTAGAGTAAAACAACGCAAGGTTGGCTTCAGGGTTTGGAGAACCACCTTTCCAATAAGGAACCATCAGTCATAACCAGAATGGGAAGAATGAGGTGTGGTAGATAGACTCACTTTGATTTGCAACCTGCCTGGCTTCACTGAGTGTGAGTGAGAATGGAGATTAATGAAAAGCAATGAAATGTCAGGTTGGATTGTATAGATGCGTTACAATGCTACATGTACCCAATGGGTTGCAATAGCAACTCCACTCACTGATATAACATGGCTGACCTAGACCCTCCTATAAGCTTTTTTGCCATGGATGTGGTCTCGTTTAGACATTGGCTAAAATTCTGTTGCTTTGATACACAGGCAGAAGGCACACAGCATAACATTCACTTGCTGTGAGCTGCCAGATAATGAGTCCCCATTTGGATTCTTGTGCATGTGCCATTCTAGGTACTGTATGTAATATGCTGTACTGAAAAAGAATGCAATACTAGGCATGAGTTCATCTTTCAGCAAGAGAATCAGAGAAAGATCCATCAAAACCAAGGACAAATTTTGGCAACATATGCGGATGGCTCTGTGTCAAAATCAGACAGGCAAGCGTTGTCTAAGCAGACTCTAATGACATTATTTCAACAACAGGTAAACTAAACAGCCAAATGGATGTTGCATGGCTCACTCTTTTTTTGCAGAGATGCTTTCATATTGCATGCCTAGAAAATGGTTTAATAGAGAATACCCATTCCTCCTATTGTCTCATTGAAACCCCAGACGGAGCCTGAACACATCCAGTGGTTAGTTGTACTGCTGAGGTGAGAAGCCAATTTGGTCAAAGGGATTTTCTGTGCTTGCAGAGGCAAAATCCCCTCTAATTTTTCACCATCAAGTTTCACTAGTACTGAGCAGAAACGCCACCTGACATGGGCAAAGTTCTGGCCATGACCTGAACCAAGTGAATGGCAACATTAACTTTGTGGGTTCATAGCACCAATACAGCACTGTGCAGCTGCGCAGCCACACAGCTTAGAGGGAATGTTGTAAAGAGGTATTGCTCAAAATTATTGCAGGAGAATCATGTTGAGATATTCTACTAGGGCTTTTGTAGTGACATCCTTGAATTCTAGCACCACCACTGGCTCAGGTTGGAGAAAGGCTGGTAAAGCAGTTGCCTCTCAAGTTTGAATTTTTCAGACAGCAAGGACGCCCATCAGTTATGCAGGCAGTTCCCTCTCCTACTGCAGTAGGGTCTCTAAATCTCTAGTTCCAGCCCTCAAAACTATGAAATCAGAGCTGGGGCATTCAGCAGAATTCATCTGCTGCTGAGAGATAGAGGGATAAAAGTTTAAATGGAACAAAGACTGCTAGTGGCTGCATCTTTTACCACGTGTTGGTCTTTTGTAGTTGCTGCAATTGTTTGCACGCTCCCCCCTAATCCCCTAACTCTAATCCACCCACCCCTTTGTAATATAAGCCCTGTCTTTTCAGGATACAAATCATTCAGACCTTCAATAAGCATTTATTGAACATGCCTGCATTTTCCCTTCTTCTCTGAAAAGCATCAGTGGAATTGTTCACATCCATCTTTCACTAGTAGATCACATCCTAAATATACTGTTTTTAAAAACCTAAAGAATAAGCATGCAAACAGACACTAAGAGGTTTCCTAGAGATTAAGGACCAACTTCAAAGAGATGATCACTCAGATCAAAGTTTTGCATGCTCTCCTTTGTGCTCTCCAGCAATATTAGACTCTCAGATCTCAAGGGCTGGGATATTTGTGCTTCGGGATTGAGCCCCCAAACTTCAAATTACAAAGACTGAGATCTTCAGATGACAAAGCATGTATTATTTCACGGGGTCTTGGCACCCATAGACAGATACTGAGAAGAGTATAATTAAAAGAAACCACTTGGTTATTGGACATTGCTAGCATGGATCAAAATAAAGAACAGCTCAGAATGTTATGGAACTCCAATTCAAACGTAGAACTTCACCACCTTCACTTCAGCAGATGCAGCAATACTATGCAGATATGCCATTCATGTGTTACACTGACCTCTGCTATTGTGAATGAGGACTCCTATATATTGGTGCTGGTGGTGAGATCTGCCATCCAGGTGTTTACATCTCTTTAAGTCTGCTGTAAGTTTTGATATGATTCTATAGAGAAATATAATCTATAGAATCTGTCATTTATTTCAAAAGAAACAAAAGTAGAGTCTAGGCACATATATTAACTGGATTTTAGGAAAGCCTATTTTAATAAACTGAGAGCCAGTGATAAGTAAAGTCTTATGGCAAGATATCTTAACAAGAAAGGGAGTCCACTATGGGGCTGGTGGGGAGGGGAGAAGAGATTTTTAAAAAGTAAAGTTCTAAAGATGGGGGAAAGACTAATGTGGCTTCACAAAAAGCTCAGAGAGGACCTGAAAACAAAAACAAATACATTTGGGAAGTGGAAGGGAGGCTAGGCTGCAAAGGAAGAGTATAGACAAGTAGCAAAGAATTGCAGGGAAGGCATTAAGAAGAAAAAAATCTGAGAATGAGCTGAGGTTAGCCAGAGACACTAAAAACAACAAAAAGCATTCTTCAAGTACATGAGTAACAAAAGACAGAGAAAAGAAACCGTAGCCCAGCTATTCCATGGAGATGGGAAAATGACAAAGAAAGGTCAGAAATGTTCAATTCCTACTTTAGCTTGGTCTTTCCCCAAAAGATAGTCTATAACCCTCTATGTTAATATGAAGCACAAAAGGAGGGGATAAGATTGCAGCATGAGATTGATAAATAAATAGTTAAGAATACTATACTACTTTGAATGAGTTCAAATACCTGGGGCCAGATGAATTGCATCCAACAGTATTGAAGGAAATGCCTGAAGAACTTGCAGAACCACCTGTGTAATATATTCTTGAAATCATGAGGATGGATGAAATGCTGGATGTTTGGAGGAGCACTAATGTTGTCCTTATCTTGAAAAAGGGCAAAAAAAAAAAAAAGGAACCGTGGAACTGTAAACCAGTCAGCCTAACGTCAATCCCAGCGAAAGTCCTGAAGCAGATTATAAAGTAGTCACTCTGCAAGTACCTTGAAAACAATGCAGCAGTAACTAGAAGCCAACATGGATTTGTCAAGAAGAAATTCTACCAGACTAATCTGATCTCATTTGATCAGGTAACCTCCCTGATAGACAGAGGGAATGCTGTAGACATAATATACCTTGACTTAAGCAAAGCCTTTGACAAAGTGCCCCATGATTAGCAAGCTAACTAGGTGTGGGCTGAATAGAACATGTGTCAGGTGGATATACAATTGGTTACAGAATCATACTCAGAGAGCACTTATCAATGGCTTCTTCTCAAACTGAAAGGAGGTAATGAGTCGGATACCACAAGGTTCAGTCCTGGGCCTGGTGCTATTTAACATTTTTATTAATCACTTGGATGAGGGTGGTGCAGAGAATATTTACTAAATTTGTGGATGACACAAAATTGGATGGAATAGCTAATACCTTGGAAGACAGGAACAAAATTCAAAAATATCTTGATAGCCTTGAGCAGTAGGCTGGGAACAACAGAATGAAATGTAACAGAGATAAATGCAAAGTTCTACATCTAGAGAAAGAAACCCAAAGACACAGTTGCAAGTTGGAGGCTACTTGGTTCAGTTACACTAAGAGCAAGAAGGATCTTGG